CTGAAGATGCCGGTCACAGGTGCTGGCGAAACATTAGGAAACAAAACTTCAAGAACACGGCTACACAGCCCGGAAGACCCACACCAGCCATCGTGACCATGTGTAATTAGAGAAAGTCCAGTATATATAGAGACTTAGATAACTCAGCCTTCAAAGAGTTATAGTCTGCTGTGGGTTTCTTCTCTGTAAAGGTAAGGCCAACCTGGTTAGGAAGGCATCCACAGGATACAAAACTTTTATCAAAATGATGCCAGCAAAATCACATAATCACAAACTTTGCCCTTTCATACATGCATGTGATGTCATGCCATGTGTACAAAAGGGGTCGGACTTCTGTTATAACAGAGAGACACTCCTTTCACTGTGGACAACTCTGGCTGGATGATCAGTTTTCTGACCCTGCTCTGTACAGTTTATACTGAGCTTTGTACCTTAATTATTAAATGGGACCATCGAATTGGTAGAACTGAAGAAATTGCTTTGCGTTACTTTGCAATTTATTTTCATTTGCCAAATTAGGTATCAGACTGTTATCTAATATCAACTGGATCTCTCACTTACATAAAATCATTTTCAACCAACTTCCTTCCTGTATACTATTAGTATAGTTGTGTATTGCAAATTGGTAGAATGATCTTAAAAAAATTATTTGTAAAACCTTACATTAGCTATTCATGGCTATTCTGTTCATTTCAGAAGTTCAGTTGAAAGTCAGGAAAAATGTTTTAAATGTAGAGAATATTGTACAACAGTCTATATAATTGTTGAAAAAAGCACCACCAACTGTGTCTCAAACTTCCACATGTTGAACAGGAAAATAAAAGAAAAAGAAACTAGAATTTCATTCTGGGAAAGTCGCCAACTTATTTACTTCAATAAATGTCAATTATTTTCAGCAAGAAAATGTCCTTAGCAATAAAAAAAAAACCAGAAGATCAATATTTGTTCTTTTAATTCTTGGTCCCATTCCAGTTTTAGAAAAACCTGATTGAAATCCTCCTCCCCAATTTATTCTTATGAAGTATCAAATGAACATCTGAGTTATATATGTGCCAGGTACAGCTGCGGTAATTGAAATGTTATTTTCATTAAAAATGTTCATGCATTTATGGAATTAGTTTCATAAATCTACTCAATAGGAGGTGCTAAAATGGTTTCTAGCATGACATTAAATCAAAGAAACATGTCAGTACTGTGAACAGGTAATCAATTCACACTTCAAACCCTGACTCAGGGAAATTTCTATCTGTAAGAGATTGATTCCAGAAGTTATGGTTGATTTTGCTTTTATTGAACATTATACATGGTAAGTAAAAACTTGTTGCTTTTTTAAAAACATCATTACTTGAAAATGTAATTGAAATGGACCAAGTCTGGAATTATAAGCAAAACAAAAGACTCCTGGACTATATCAGGAAAGATTTTAGCACTCTGGAAATAAACAGTACATCTTTATGGTTTCCCCTGCCATCTTGTTTTCCTATAAAGATTCTGCATATCTGATGATCCTTGATCTTTATTCTTGGCTAAATTATATGCATTATTATTTTAAATATTAAAATTATGGTTATATATTATTCTGTTGTCATTCTGTGTAATTGCCCATGGCTAGAACAAATAAGGCTATTTGATTTAATAATTTATTAAATTGGTTATAACATTTCTTTATATAAGTTTGTCTCCCAACCTATATCAGTGATAGCAAGGCAATTTCATACAACTGAGAACTAAGGATAATCATCAGAAAAAGTGGCATTGTGAACAGATTGTAGCTATATACACCCATCCTATTCTGTTTGTGTCCTTAGTTGATTAACTTTGGACAGACCAAAACGCTCTCTCATCCTACTTGTCCCACAACAATAACCCTTTGAGATAGACCAGGCTGAGAAAGAATGACCAGCCAAAAATCACCCAGTGAACTACCATGGTTGAGAATGGACTACAACCTTGGTCTCCCATCTTGTAGTCCAACACCTTAACTGCGACATTATACTGGTTCTCATTCTCTCTTGTTGTCTTTCCTATCCTTGCCCTTCCTGCTTCAGCCACTGTTTGGAAAATCAGTGAAGATATAGTTATATGCTGTCCCAACAAAATATTCCATCAGGTGATAAGAAGCAACTGATCTCCCGAGGGCATGGTCATCAGCCATACAATCAGACTTTGCTGTATTTACTGCGTAGCTCTGCACGAGTTCTGATTCCGGGACTAAATTTGTGCCAAACTCAATTACTTGCCATCAATAAGAAACTGATGGCAAGACTCCAGAAAGGCTCTGCATGGATTACAATATTTAAAATACATAATTTAAGAAACACGACTCCCTCAGTCATGTAATTAAAATGATAGCCAAATGTGAATAATTCCAACTCTTTCTTTTTTATTCATAGCTGAAAAAAAGGGAGGATCTGGAAGATGATTTTTTGAATTGTACTCCAGAAGATCTTCTTCGATTTGATGATTACAACCATGATGGTTACCTAACTCTGCAGGAACTCTATACTGCATTCCGTAAGTAATAACTTATCTCTGTATGTGTCTTTCTCTTTCACTGCTGCAGAATGACGGAAGGGTGGAAAATGGTCTTCTTCCCTTGCAGGGAGCCAGTAATATCTGTCTTCCTTGAACCTTCCCAAATCTTCCCAAGCAACGGTTAATATATATTTTGTGTGTCATCATTTTCAGTAGCAAATGACTGCCAGAAGTGAAGGTCTGAGAAGGAAAGAGAATAGATAATTTGATTAGTGGAGGGAGAGGAATACAATCAGTTCAAGGAGCTGTAAATGCCCACTTCCTGCCATTGCTTCAGGGGTAGGGGGATATTAAGAGAACATGCAGGAGAGGGGAGATTTGGGCACCATTTGTTGTTAATCAGCGAAGGCAAACCAAATGTTCACTGTGGTTAGAGATTTCTTCTGTAATTTCACTTAGTTCATATTCCTGTTCTAATCTTACTTTTGTATATCTATATACTGTATATATCATGTAAGGTGTACATTCTTCTTGAAGAATTATGATAAACTTATTTGCCATTGCAATATGGTTTTGTTTCTTAATGGACAAATAACTATTTAAACTTAGAGATATAGGAGTGATTTCACTGTACGTAGCAAAAGGATATAGGGCTCCTTCTTTTTCTCAGGAAATAAGAATTTATGGAACAGAAATCCATGGAAGATTGCTTTAGGAATGGCTTTGACCCTTGTAGTTCACTGTTATTGGCAATACTGGCGATATTATGTAGAATGTTATTGCTTGTTATCCATATGGAAGAAATACTATAGTTTGTTGATGTTAATGTTTAATTCTTCTTTGTCTACTAATGGAAAGAATCTGTGTGACACTTGGTTTGTTTTAGCACTGAGAAATATGAGAGTTTGCCAGTAAGGCTTATGGGTTTTCTTTTAATATCTAACAGAGAATGGTGTCAACCTAATTCTTCACTTGTCTTTATTGTGAATAGGTAACAGTACTTCAAATAGCTTCTAAACTCAACTCTTCAACATTTTTTTTCATCCAGTAAAAGAGTCATATTATTCTTATGGTGAAAGATAATTTTAATGTGATATTTGATGCCACAATGATTATGACTGAAGTACACTCCAGGGTTCCCTTCAACTTCAGCTCTCATAAAATCCAAGTGTAGTTCATAATAGACCTGTCCCCTTCCCTAGCTAGTGTGATCTGCACTCAATTAGTTTCAGTCTTGAACTCTAATATTTCTGAATTATAGTTCCTATAGCCTCCTGGTTCACTTAATCTAGATCTCATAATTACAGTGGAAAGTGCATTTAGACTTCAAGGATGACATCTAGCAAGAGTCTGTTGTTGCTACCCAGCCCCCATTCTGGATCCCTCTCATTATAGTGTAAGTTTGTTTTAGAAGGGCAATATAGCATGGAAAATTTAGAGGTAATTTCTCTACTTGATTCTTGCTGGGAAATTCCCAGAAATACCACAAGATTTCTGATAGTTCTTTAAGAAAGCTGAGACAAATAACAAGATGAGTTCGGTCAGGCACATTTATTTATCACTAGTACAAATATTGCTTTATAGAAGTTAGGTCCCTAGAGGACATAGTCAACTGTACTCAAAAGTATTTTCAGTAGGATTCTGATTTTAAGAATATATATCTCAGTAAGACAATATTAATTCGTTTGAGAAGTTTCTGCTTTTGGAGGTTTGAAGACATACATTGATTTATTCTCCCTTTGATGTTTGGAATTTGAGAATGAAAGTTCTACTCTTGCACCGGGAGTGGTATTTTGCATCATGAATACCTTCCTGTTCCAGATTTGTCACCTGGACATAGAAAATATATTGTGAAATAGCTTTTGATCTTCTTTTCCAATGCTTTATTTTGCTCAACATCTTTCTTAAACACAAACAAAAAGGAAAGAGAAGCCTCTTGTTTTTATGTAGCTGTTTGAAGTGATTTCTAAGGGTCTGGACTGGAAAAATGTAACATTTAATTATCATATTGGATCTGTTTTATGTTCTCAGTGGAGAACATAATCCATTGCCAGGTTCCTGGAATAATAGATATGAATTTAAAAATAAGGCTTTGTGATAATGGAATATGAGAAAACATTTTGAATTTGAAATATCATTTAAGTGCTCCAAGTATGAATCAAAATACATCTTTGGAAAGTTCTGTTTCAGGGTGCAAGAAAAACCCACAGTGCAAGTAAAGAGGTTGGCTGTTTTGAATCTTCTGCCTATTCTGCCCACTGCAGCTGGACTGTAGTTTTATGGCTTGCGATGAGGCAGCTTTGCTTTTCTCCCACACTAGCCTGGCCAGCACCACAGCAGCACTGGTCTTGTCCTTGCTGCTACTGGTCCAGACTGAATAGGATGATGTGGTAGTGGGGCACTTGGAGGAAAGAAGCGCGTGACCAGGCAGAAGAATGCTGCTCATGGATGCATGCTTGCCAGCCTTCCTTGCTGGATTTCTTTTTATTGCTGTAGGGAAGTTACAATTCATATGATTATATATGTATGCATGTATGTGTGCCTTTGAGTCAGTCTTGACTCCTGGCAACTGCCTGGACACATCCCTGCAGTTTTCTTGGCAAGATTTTTCAGAAGTGGTTTGCCCTTGCCTTCTTCTTCTGAGGGCTGAGAGAAAGTGACTGGCCCCAGGTCACCCAGCTGGCTCTGTGCCTAAGGCAGGACTGGAACTCACAATCTCCTGGTTTCTAGCCTGATGCCTTAACCACGAAACCAAACTATTCATATGGGTAGCGTCCATTTAATATTGTGCTGTGCTTTATTCTGCAGGCAGATAATGCAAATATGTGCCTGCATTCTAGTTTATTTCACACACAAGGCTTGCTTATGTTGAAGTGGTTTTATAAAGATGATGAGTTAAAGCTGACAGAATTGTAAAGTGCATTTCTTTTTACCTGCTTTTGGTCAAAGCTTTGCATAGGACACTGACTTTGCATAGGACACTGTTGAATTAATGATTCAGAAGATTTATTTTAAAAACATTGAAATTACTTTTCTCTGTTCTTTCTTTTTGGAAGTGGAGATTTCTAATATCAGATTCTAATCCAAACAGATTTTTCAGCTAGTTAGGAGGCAAGTGTGTTGCCATTGTTTTCTATAGGGATTTATTTTAATGTTTTCAAAAATATTTTTAAAATCGTATCCTTGGCCAGTTTTATGCAATTTTGATGGTCGACAGCAGTACATATGCTTGTGGTCATGGACTGAAAAAGAAAGAAGTAGCAGCTGCTCTGAAATTCTCATTGTTTCCTAGGTCTAGAAACTCAAAACATATTGAGATTTGTTTAGATGGACACAAAATACTGAAGCGTTTTGTTTTGTTTTGTTTTGTTTTGACAATAGACATTTAAGAGAAACATTTCAATGAAATGATTCAAATGGTCCTATTTTATTCTAAACTTGAAACAAAACAAAACACTGTGTTGCATTCAAGCCTCTATCATAAATTGAATTAAGTTCACCATAAAAAACTGAGATATACTTAATAAGAGTATATCATTAGTTTTCAAAGGGAAAGATAATTGTCAGGCCCAGCCCAAGAACAACGATGAAACAGTCCAGTCCAGTCTAGTACAGTTCCTTTATTAGCTTACACCTTATAGACAGAATCTTGCCAAACTAAATCTATACTACAGCAACTAGTGGATATACCCTGGAGATTCTACGGACTGGCTATCCTGAACCTCTTTCACTTCTCACGCTCTCTCTGTGGACTATTTATTTTTATTATTATTAAATTTGTATGCCGCCCATCTCCCCCGAACGGGTGACTCTGCCTCTTGCCGCCTCCTCCTCCTCCCTCCTAGAATGCAACCCCTCCTTCCTGATAGCCTTGATCTCCCACATCACTCTCCTCCTCGTAGATACATTCCATCACAATAATGTACAGTAAGTTAAATTGCAACATTTGTGGTTTGGAAATAGGCAATGAAATCTGAGACAAGTTCAAAAAGTTATATAGAGCTGAAGATTAGTAAGAAGGGTTAACATCATAAGTTAAACCCAAAATGAACTGTAGTCCTATGATAGTTTCCAGTGTAACCTTTCACATAAAGAGTGTATGACTGTACTATGTGTATTTCTGTACTGATGGAATAGGGATGTTAACAGTGTATTGATTTGCAAGGCAAGCTCTAGATTAGAGTCTTAACTTGCTTAGAATTGTGTGAATATGCTTGGGCGTATTTAACTTTGGTTGTGCTTATGACATACTGGCCAAAATGTGTCAAAACTGACCACTTCTGTCCTGACTTTTAGCAGTTGGTGAATACATGGAACAAAGGAAAGACATAGGTTTAATAATTAATGAAATGGCTAACATATATGTGAAGAAAGTATGAATTTATATTACCTTTTTTTTTTTTTTTGGTCTGCGCTCAGTCATTGCTAACCCTGCAGTGATTGCTTGGACGAATCCTTGCAGTTTTCAAGGCAATTGTTTTTCGGAAGTGGTTTGCCAGAGCCTCCTGCAGTGATTGCTTGGACGAATCCTTGCAGTTTTCAAGGCAATTGTTTTTCGGAAGTGGTTTGCCAGAGCCTCCTTCCTGAGCAGAGCCCAGCTGGTGTGC